TGTGTGTTGCTGTCTGTCTCAGGTCCTCTATGTGCTGGGATGGGTGGTAAGAAGAAAAAAAAGATGATGTATTTGACTACCAAGAATGCAGGTACTTCAAACTCACCACAGTCTCTGTTTTGCATGAATTGGACAGCATGTTTATTGTGTTTTATTGTGTTCAGCTCCCTAATTACTGGTTTCTGACTAGAATTTGATCGCCATGAGCTGCGGATATATGAAGAGGTTGCCAAGGTCCCGCCCTTCAGGAGGAAGACACTGGTTCTGATTGGTGCGCAAGGGGTTGGCCGTCGCAGTCTGAAAAACAAGCTGCTGGTGTCGGATCCCCAGCGGTATGGCACCACCATCCCCTGTGAGTGCAGCCATTCATCATCACACTAAAACCACATGCAATGATACAAAATCCATCTGTCATTGTGTAGCTTGCACTGTTTTTGTTTTTTAATTTTCTTTAGTGGTCATCTTGGTTTCCAGACTGCCAGTCTGTTTTGAAGTGTTTTTTTTCTATATTTTTTTTCTTTCCCTTCTTTTTGTGATTTCATCCTTCCATTTAACCAGTTATTGTCTGTAAATGATCTATATCTGCTTTATCCTTCAGTCACCTCCAGAAAACCAAAGGTGGATGAAAGGGATGGCCAAATGTACTCCTTTATGACCCGCAGTGAAATGGAGTGCGACATCAAAAACGGTCGTTTCTTGGAGCATGGCGAGTACGACGGGAACCTGTATGGCACTAAGATAAACTCTATACACGAGGTGATAGAAACAGGAAAGATCTGCATCCTGGACGTCAACCCACAGGTAGAGGAAGCTCACATATGTTTGCTTACCTTCGTTTACTTTCCCATCCAAACTTCTATCCATTATTTGTCATGTTTTCCAATGAAACTGCCTCAATGTTCTAAAGTCATACCAATTATGTACAGCTTGTTGCTACTGAAGTATTTTCAGGCTGAGGACATCATCAATATTTATTCTAAATGATCTCCTGATGATGATCAGCATTATTCGCTGGAAACACTCAGCTAATCTTATTTACACCCATTAGCTTGATACATCTGTTAGATGAAGATACTTCCGCTACATTTTTTCTTTTGTGAACAACTGTTTTATTGAAATTATGAATTCACATGACAAGATCAAACAGTGCAAACATTTTTAACCTATCCCTCCCTCCCTCCCTCCCTCCCTCTGGCGGCATCCCCCCTCCCTCCCACCTCCCCTCTCAATCTAGTGTCCTACAACCTACCGAGTGCCTTTATTCTGCACTGAGCAGGCCCGTTATAGCCAAAGCGGCTCTCGTCCATGAGTCCAGTGTAGAACGTTTGGCTTTGTTCACTTGTGCTGTAGACAGTTCCAACATGACCACATCCTGAAAGTATTCCAGCCATTTCCTAGCGTACAGTTGGTGAGGGGGTAGCCAGCGTTATACTATCAGTTTTTTGGCAGCTGTCAAGCCAGCCAACCAAACCTTGCGTTGTTTCTCATTCAGCCCCAAATGTGAATCTTCCGCTGCATTTTAATCACATTCCCAGTTTTATAATTGTTAGATTTTGCTATTCCCATTGCTCGGTGTGCATTGATGCAGTGACTGTGAAATATCTCATATACATTTGTTTTGTCTCTGAAGGCTCTCAAAGTCCTGCGGACGTCAGAGTTCCTGCCCTACGTTGTGTTCATTGAAGCTCCGGATTTTGAGGTTCTAAAAGCTATGAATAGGTCAGCAATTGAGTCAGGAGTGGTCACAAAACAGTTAACGGTGAGTGTGTGTTGTCTTAAAGACCCTGAAAACACATTCTCTAATTCATCCCTTTGCATAAACACACAGTTGCTGTTTCTGCTGTCTTGTCTGTGCTCTTTGCACTGAGTTGATGTGGGCGGGGCTTTGTTGGTTGGTGAAAGGTAATGTAATGTATTTTGGTGCACTAATTAAAATGTAGCAACATCTGACTGAAAATGTGATGATAGCAGTGGTGGTTTTGTTTGTGTTGCCTTCTGAACAAATGTGATCACACCACACCCAGACAGTCCTGATAAAGGAGATTAGCGTTAGTGTTGAACTCTTAATCAATTATACCTTAAAATGTGTGTTGTTAATTTTTTTAATTTACAGAGAAATACTTAAGATGTAGAACCAAGTTTTCAGGGGCTTCAAAAGCCAGTTAGTGCTACCTTTAGAATCATCCAAAAGATTACATGCTGTGCTCTTAAACAGTTAAAACACTGAAATGCATCACAAGAAAAATTCATTGTTTAAGTAACTGCAATACCAAATGTGTTGATTTACTCAGCATAGAGGAATGCTAACAAGAAAGTTGTATTTCTGCCATTAAAAAAACTCATTTGATTTCAGTTGTGTACCAATTTCACTGCTCATTGCATTTATTTTCACGTAATCATGTCACTGTCCTGCGTCGCTTCCTACAGGACTCTGAACTAAAGAGGACGGTGGACGAGAGCGAGCGCATCAAGCGGGCCTATGGACATTACTTTGACCTCTGCATTATAAACGACGGCTTGGAAGCGGCGTTTCGAAGTCTAAGGTTGGCGCTGGACAAACTGTCAATGGAGCAGCAGTGGGTGCCTGTCAGCTGGGTCTTCTGAAAGTCGCCAAGGGCTCAACAGCACGTTGCCAGGGCCTCAGGTCGAAGGTCGGAGGACGATTTCACATTGGTAGCTCCGGAGGGGCTGTCTTCATGCAGTTATTGGTGGTGGGGGTCTGTAGTGAAGGGCCAAGCATCATGATTCAGTGCGAATGACCAGCCTCATGTAGAGCGTTTTTGTACAAACTTAGTGTTCCTCTGTTGAGCCTTATGTCAAGTTGTATTTTATTTGTCTGAATTGGAATGATTTTATTGATATCTGTTGAGAAGGATTTAGTCTATTATGAGGTTTAGTGCAATAGTGTGAGTGAGTGTGTGTATGTTATCATTAACGTGGAAATAGACGTAGAGTAAAGAATATGTTTCGCAGATAACAGTGCTCTGTTGAAGGTTTTTGTTGAAGGATATTAAACTTTTTAGCCTTTCCTACTTTATGTAGTGTAATGTTTACATTGGATTGGTAGGACAGATTGGTTAAGGAAAGATACCAAATGTCATATTTATATAAAATTCTCTATATTTTACCATTTGATCATACAGTATGATTGTATGTGTTCTATCTATGGAATGTGCTTTATCCTGTATGTCTCCACGAATTTGAAAAATGAACAGCAATAGATAATTTAAAAAGAAACATACATGCAATATATCTACTCAAACATGCTCAAATGAACACACACACTGATATATATACGTAAACACAGCGAGAGCAGTGGAAAACTCTTTTGTTGAGACATTTTGCATTAATCTTGTAGTCTCAATTTGTTTGGTTTCATTTTCAATGTTGATTACATTGTACATTTATTGTCTTAAGCTGGTAAAGCGTCCGGTTTGTTTGACAGTGAGGGGATCCAGTGAATGGATCACAGTGTCCGACTGCTGCCTGCTTTATTCTGTTGGAGTTTTATTTGTAGCACTGAGAACACTTAAACTCTCAAAGAAAAAAACATTTAAAAAAGAATTAAGAAGTAGCCTACAGTATGCACTGATTGTATAATGAAGGCAAAAATAACTTAACATTACAGGTTGGACAATTGATGGAAGTTGTCACATTTTTTGTTATTTTTTATGTACAAACAGTAAAATATTTATCAGTGAGTGGCTTCAAATTCATACTTTTGCCTTAACATGGTTCAAAAGCCAAGGAAACACTCTATCACTGTTCCGTCTTAGAAAATAGAAAAAAAATAATAATACTGGCAACTTATTTACTATTTATTTTATTTTCCCTAAAACTTGTAAGTACTGTATTGTAATAAAGAGTAAATAGTATAACATAGAGAAACACTTGGTGCTTTGATGATTCTGCTGGTGTGTAGATGCAGTTGGACAACTACACTGTAGTTTTGATGTTCATATAAAAATGTATTAAAATTGAAAATGTTGAGAATATTGCTTCACTGTCTACAGTTAATATTGATGCAAATTAATATTTAAGTTAAAATCAAATTGTATAAAAAATATTTTTCAAAATACACAGAGAACATAAGGTGCGTCCTCAGCGTGTGTTGCCAGTTAAAGTGTTCAACCGCTAGATGCCTGGTGTAACCTCTGTGGCCGTGGGTCGTTATGGGTGCTGCTTGAAGATGGTCGGGTTGTGTGCAGAGGTCCTGTGGGTGTTGTCCAGTGATGAGGTGCCAGAGGCAGCGTTATCGGATACATCTCGTAGGCAGGTGGCGCCGCCCCTGGCCAAACGCTTGTCAGCTTGGGGTCAAACTGCATGAAGGGAGGTTCAAAGTAAAATTATTGCACAGTGTAGGCTATTGATATATAAAATCATATAAAGTATATACGAGCCATAAGCTCTAAATTACTAACGACACAGAATATTTTTCAGTGTTGAGAGAAAAGTTTGACATTTTGGGCTAATTAGGTTTCTTGCTGAGTCAGAAAAAGATTAATACATGCATGCTTCTCTACACTAAATATAAAGCTACAGCTCGCAACCTCTTAGCTTATCTTGGCACAAAGACTGGCAACAGCTAACCTGGGTCATGTCATGGTGAGGACAAGACTACACAAAGTCAGTGGACACTAATTCCAGTTATAATTAAATATAACATGGTAATTAGTGAACTTCAAATGTTGATTTTAATTGAAGTTAAAAAAGTTGATAGATATTTGTCATCCACTTAAAGAACCATAATCTGTCTATCTAGAAGTTCATCTGATTTTGTGACTCAGAAAAAACCCCCTCTGTGTTTAGATGTGTGTGCAGGGATCCAATAACAGTGGCTGACGGTAGCGAGGGCTCACGCACCAGCGAGTATGGTGGTGGGAGATCCACAGTGCTGTATCGAGGAGGGACTCTGTCGTATTGTCTGTCCTCTTCTGCCTGATCTTCAGGCAAAGAAATTATATGGAGTACTGAAGATGTGTTGCCATCTTGTGTTGGTATGGTGACGTCATATGCTGCTCTTTTCTTTTTTGCGTGCAGATAGAAGCAGAGGAGTACCACAGCTATGGACACCACCAACACTGGGAATCTAGGAACACATTCATCATTTCAAGACTTAATTATTTTCTGTTTTGAATAAACAATTCTCTTCCTGTATAGAGAGATTCATTCTTGATATGACTGGTCTACTTACATATATTGAAAGATATTAACTACCACAGTCATGGCTGGAATTTTGTCAACCTGCTGGCATTACTGTGAGGACAAAATAAATTAAAAGTGCAGAAATAAATACAAAAACAAATAAGCTGATTCGAAATAAATTCTTTGGACGTGTCTTACAAAAAGAAACATCAGAGCCTTTCCATCTCAGTTTATGGGAGCCCATTGGAACAATTATATGAGACTTTGAGTGCTAACTGTCTAAACAGAGGGTTGTGACCTATAGTGACCATGCAGAGTCACCAACAATCTTGCCACTTAAGAAATCTTTGAAACCGGCTCAGCAGTTTACAACTAAAGCTTAAATCAAGACGTTAGCAACGTAATAAGTGGCAGGAATGACCGGCATACTGTTTGACTTTATGCTGTCTGAATTTAACAACAGACAGTGGACCTTCATCCTATAAATCTTACTCATTACAACTCTAAGAAATTAGTTGAATCTGTATAATTCTAACTCGCATTACCCTTATGACACAGAATTAGAAGATTATTAGATTTAATCATTGTATTGCAGTGGGATGAGTCCTTACCTTATTTAAGAATAGCAAACATACAGAAACTGTCCTGACCTGTGGGTGGCTATCAAAGGATAATGTGTCACTTAGGGAAGTACTCAATGTGAAGAGCTTTTACAGCATTGTTGTCTTTTTTAAAGACACAGGACTTCTAGGTGTGCTCTGTGTCTTGCATATTTCATGCATATTTTGAACAAAATCATTCATAAATCTATTTGACTCAGCATTTACTGTGGCAAACCGTCAACAATGGCATTCCTCAGAGTTCAATTATAAGACCACTCTTGTTCTGTTTCTGCTTAGGGTATACACAATGGTCAACAACTAACAATTTTGTGTTTTTATTTAGTGCTGTGCCTCAGCCATCATCCCTCCCCAAACAGTAGTAACTAAATTCTTAGCATGCAGCACAAAACCCATCTTTATGATTTGCTTTTTGGAAAATAAAACTGGACCCTTTTTTGTGAAATTAATTTTATTTATCAGTATAAATGATGTAATTTTGCAAATTACATACTGTAACCACAGTAACCACAGTATTATTAAAACATGTAAACAATAGGTGCCTTAAATCAAATATTTAACCTCTTAACTTCTGTCAAACATACTGTAAATATGGGGGCATTTAGTGGGAGTTTAACTGGGTTATATATAAAACTTCAGTAGTTGTATCAGTTATATAAAGATTTTCCTTCCACATAGTGGATTGTTTACAGGTAGGTATAATGATACATATAAAATTATGGTATAAATGCACTACAGGTTAATGTATCGGCTCAAATAAGGGTAAAAAGATACAGTACATACACAAAAAGCCAATTTAAAAATGCTAATATTGGCCCTGATTTCAGCTGTACTTGTAACATAAGTATGTTAATTTATTTAGTCTCATGCACAGTGTGGGAACTTTGAGTTTCAGTTTTCTGCTTTGAGTTTGTACTCAGATGTTCACAAAAGCTGTTTTTTCTCGGTGCAACCTCGCCACTGATATTTGATATAATGAGTGCACTAATTTAATTTTGACATAAAAAAAAATGTACACACAGTCTTAAATTGCCCATGCAGACAGGTTTACAAAGGCTGATATACAAACACATTTTGAAACATCATTTCACTATGTCAAAATCTTATTGACCCTTATTTGATAACATAGACCTTCCCTGTGAGAAAAAGTACAGTATGTTCAGGCTAGCCGTGGTTTTTGAAGTGGAGAGAGATCAGGGATTCTCTGAGTAAGCTGGAGGGTCTGTGTATGATGGTGGTTGGTCTGGATAGGATGGTGGTTCAAACTGGAAAAGATAAGAGGAGACATTTATTACAGAGAAGACAACTGATGCAGTTTGGTTTAGAACATTTTCAAGCTCATGTTTAATAGAAGAAAACACTCAAGCAGCTTTGTATCTAAATTAGATCCTCATCATGAAATATCACTGTACCCTGTATGGAGGAGGTGGGCCGACATTTCTTGAGCAGTACATGGGAGGGTCTCTGTGAGGAGGTTGAAACTCTGCTTCATAAATGTCCATTACTTCTTCGTCCTCCCGCTCCTCCTCATATATGGGGATGACGTATACAGATGGAGAGTTAGTGGGCGTCGGGGGCCAGCCTTCTGCTTCTCTGTGTTTCTTTGCAAAATGGCAACAAAGAATCCACAGAGTAATACCAAAACACAACAAGGGAATCCTGAAATAAAAGACAGCTTAGCTATATGTGCAGCATGAATACAATGAGGTATAAAAGTATATCAAATGAATATTTATATGTTGGGAACAGAATACTTACTCAATTGTGGGATAAAAAAATACCATGGCGGTTTTATTTTCTAAACCAGGTTTCACACCTGGGGGAAATTATAAAGAAAAGGGGCCTTGTCATTCAGGTGGCCAAGGTCATGCAATTTAATGTTTAGTTTTACAATACATTTATACATGGAAAGTTCAAAGGTAGCTCTTTATCTCTTTGTATCCTTAAATCACACCGACATAAACAGAATGTTCTTAAAGCAGATAGAATTACTATAAGAAAGCTGGAATTTGTCTCTAACACAGTAGATTTTGTACTACTTTCTACATAACAACAGTTCAAAGTTAAAACTGTACAGTATGTGTAGCTTCTATGGGATGCTGCTACATAACAGATTTATACACTTGATTTCAGCTAGATTAGAGTAAAAGCGAGCGGCAATGAAAGCCAGTAGCAAAACATTTCATTTTCATTCTTGATAAATATATAATAACTGGCCTTGTACAATGAGACGTTGTTCTTCCAGTTTCAGGCTTTACTGAAGAGTTGAATATAAAACGGCAAAGAAAATGATTTAACACGTTTGGATGAGCTGCCCCTGACTAATTTGATATTTTGTTATGCTGAAAATAAAGCTTACCTTCAAGTACAAGCCATGTAGTGCAGGTTAAGTAGAGTGTTGACTTGCAACAGACATTTTACAGCCTCATTGGCCTGTTTAAAGTAGCAGAACTTGCAGAGGTTACAGCCAGTGACGTAACTAACTTATCGCTCACCACACAGAGTTATAACAGTGTTGGGCTAAAGGCCACTAGCTGCTAAGGTGACTCTTACTGATTAACATGCATTGTAATAAACCACAATAATAAGGAATGGAAATCACATTACAGGAAAAAAAGGGATAACATGGAAAAACAAGATTCCTTGTTTCAACTTGTTACTTAGGAATGCATTGGAGGTGTTGTTGAAACATGTTGGAGGTATCTGTACTGCATCGCTCTGCACAGCAGAATGTTTCTCTTTGAAGGAGGATTTTCTGTCCCAGAAAAAAATATCATTTCAGGCTCACACTGGGCCATTGAACGCAGATAAAACAGCACAAGGTTAAACCACAACACAGACTTTTCCAAGCTTTTATTTATACTTTATGTTGATCTCACAACAAGCCTGAAAACATTTCCCATGCTGCACACATTTCACACATCCATCTAATGGCAAAACCCAGCATGCCCCCTCAGTACGTTAATACATTGTATAACACAAAATATATTGTTTGTTAGCGTAGGAGAGGTGGAGGTGGAGGAGGTGGTGGAGGGGGTGGTGGCACCATACCAGAGGTGCCAGTGTGAAGGGGTGGTGGAGGAGGAGGAGGGGGCACAGCTCCCGACACCGATAGGGGTGGAGGTGGAGGAGGAAGAGGGGCACCTCCCGCTACAGGAGGAGGTGGAGGTGGGTACATGCCATTTGACGGGGAGATTGGTGGTGGAGGGGGAGGTGGGGGGAGACATGTTGGTGAAATCAAAGAGGGTGGAGGCGGGAGGCCAGTGTCTATGGAGTGAGGGGGAGGTGGTGGTGGAGGAGGAGGAGGAGGAGGAGCAGGCACATTGGGGTCCAAATTGGCATTGGCAGTGGGAGGAGGGGGTGGAGGCAGGCTGTCGTTGGTGGGGTTGGAGACGGTTTTCAAGGTGGGGACTGATGGCGGAGGCACAGCGAGGCCAAAACTGGATCTACATTCAAGACAAAAAGAAAACACACACATTCAGCTACTATCATGACATCCTCAGAGTGATGGAACTGTAGTGTTTGAAGCTACAGCCAGTTAGCTTAGCTTAGCACAAAGCCTGAAAACGGGGGGGGAACAGCTAGCATGTTTCTCTATAAAGGTAACAAAATACACCTGCCGGCACCCGCTATTCTACTGAGGATTATGGGCATTTTTTTTTGCTATACCCATCACTTCCTGGAGTGTCTGCTAGTTTTCTAACAACTGGTCTGAACCATGAAATACTGTAACAAATAAAACCACAACTTGTAGTTTTTACACAGTTTTTGTATGGACGAAACAAACAAAACATGACGCACTAATTAACAGCCAGGCTAGCTGTTTCCCCCTGTTTACGGTCTTTATGCTAAGCTAAGCTAACCCACTGCTGGCTGTGGTCTAATATTTAACAGACAAACATGAGAGTGGTATCAATCTTCTCATGTAACTGAGCAAAAAAAAAAGTGAATGAGCATGTTCCCCCAAAACAGTTTCTGTAGTCCATAAAGCAGAAACCTTTCAGACATTATAATAAATTGTACAGGTCATGTTACTAATACTGTGCCCATGTTATAATACAGTACTTGTAATGTAGAGTGTTTAATTATAATAACAGTATTTCCATAAAAGGGCAAGGGAGGACTTTCTCCACATACACAGGGATGTCTGCAGTGCTCTGTATGCTGTCTGTGGTCCCTGCTCTCTCTCTGGGCTGCGGCTCAGCAACCTGTTGGGAGAAGTAGAATGAAGGTAAATAAAAGGATGGCACAGCACATGTCTACACCCCGGTCAGCCACACTGTACATAAACCCAAACATCACACTGGGGCTACAGTGTGGAGAAGAGGGCATTGGGCTATACATCCTTTATCTAATGGGAAAATAATAAAAGGTGTGTGGACTCAATGTGTTTTCAATTTAGTCTCCAATTTACCTGAAAGCAGTGTCCAACGGAGTCCAAGATGGAGTATGATATTGGCACTCTCATGTAGCTTTTCTCTGGCTCCTTTCCTGAAGTCGGTGCGGTCAAAAGCTTGGAACGAATCTTGGGTTTGGGAGTAGTAAAAGCACCAATTTCTCTCCTGGCTATCTTCTCGAAGTGGACAGCTGCAGCCTGGACCAGACAGCACAGTGTGAACAGCTTCCAACAACAATACTCAGGAACTCAATTTTTACATCACTCACTCTTCTTCAGTCGGCAGCAAGAAAACAAATGGAGCATAGCAACCAAATTGTCCTCTGAGTTAAAAGTACAACAGGTGACCCAACTTGCATACTTATCTGGTTCCCAATACACAACCAAGATTGTACTGGGAGGAAAATGCAACTGTAATACTCTTTTTTAAGTTAAAAACAAATCATTTTGCACATTTAGCAACAGAATGTACTTAAGTTTCCCACATCATTGTGCATTATATATTGTTTGAAAGCTGTGTAAGGGTCACATCACTGTCTTTGGCAGAGCTGAGGTGTATTTTAGGTGAAAGGTGTTCCTCACCAGTGACAGCAGGTTGACTGAAGACTCCATATCTCTGATCTGCATGGCTTGTGAGTCCAGCAGCCTCAGCAGAGTGCTGGCCAGACTGCTGATCTGGTAGGCCACACTGGCCAGCGACTGGGCAGCCAAAGCCTTGGCCTCTTCAACAGCCTTGTTTGGATCCTCTGCCTGCAGGATGAGTTTTTTTTCCACAAGGATAGGTTATACATATATGAAAGAAGTACTGAGATCTTTTACTCAAGTAAAAGTAGTCAAACCACAGCATAGAAATACTATAAATCTTACTCAGGTTAAACTACATAAATATTAGCATCAAAATTCACTTAAAATATCTATAAAAAAGTACTCATTGTGCAAAATGTTATTATATAAATATAAATGTCATTATTGATGTATTTATGTAAGCAACATTTTAATGTCGTCAATGTAGAGCTAATTTTAACTACTTAATATATTGTTATGTAGGTTTATATAATTTCTAATCAGTCAAAGTTAAACATGTAAAACACATCCACCATGTTGGCCTGTAAAGTAACTACAGCTGTCAGGTAGGGGGGCAGCAGTATAACGAAAGAGAAATTAAAACACTCAAGTAAAGTACAAGTACAGTAGTTAGATCCCCCAGAGGGTAAAATGCTTCGGAAGCTTTCAGTTTCTCTAAATCTATCACAAACTGAGAACTGTGGCTTTTTTTATATGAGCATTACTCACCTGAAGGTAATTGTTCTCGCAGTAATCTGCGACCTGCAGGAGGTTGCTGTGGTTGTCAACTAGACCCTTCCTGGCGCCTGGAGCCTCTTGAAATATCTGAGAAATAACTTCAGAAAAGTTCTTTTGCTCCGTCGTTTCTCCCATTTTGCGCTGCTAACAAACCTTTAAAGAGTTATTTACGCCACCTGAGGAGGATGTCAAAGGATTTGGCAAGAGTCAGTCGAGGCAGGGGGGTGTTTGCTCGGCGGTGAACGCGGAATTACCACAGGCTAAAGATTTCCACAGAGCAGCTGGTCCCAGGGCAGGGCTACAGCTGGGAGACATGCACAGAAAGGACCACGATGGAAATAAGTTATTTTTCTTTCTAATGTCTCTAATGTTTGTAGTTATATGCCTAATAATAATAATAATAATAATAATAATAATAATAATAATAAAAAAAAAGTAAAAAAAACAATCAATTAAACTGATCAATAGGTAACATCTGTCTCTGGAGGAGATATTATGTTCCTTATATATTATTACATGTTACCGTTTTACATAGACAATAACATATATATGATAAAAATATATAATATGTTACCAGGTGTATATCATTTCATGAGTGTTCGTGTATTAATGATAAAATCCACAAGGGGTCAGTGCAGTCTTGAGAAAGGGCCTCTCTCTCAGTGTCTGTTAATGATGTTTTTTATACTCTGCACTGAGGATGATGATGATGATGATGATGATGATGAAAGACTACAGACAGCATAATCCAAACAGTAAAAGGTCGACTCATAAGCGTCAGCATGACATTAATTCACCATCAGATGGATTGTATGATGATTCATTTTTACATACCGTTATACAATAACAAAATACTCAGCCAAGTCACAACACATTGTATTGCTCAGGATATCCTGTATAAACAACTTAAATTCCACAACATCCATGGTTGTGTTTGTGCAAACCTTCACAGTAGCCTGACTCATGTTTTTATAAAGGTTTCTTTTAGTGGTCCAGTCCAATATAATACATGTGATTAGTGCACATGTTTTGCCATGTGTCAATTTCTCAGCTGCCACTCATAATATTGAGCTGTACCTCAAACCACAATACCGTTTTACGGATTTTTAAAAATATATAGTACAGTGTTAATACTTGATCATGAGGTAGTAAAAGATTTCTGACAAAGGGTCACTTGACTGTTCACGTGCTGCAGCTCTACAGACTTTGGTACACTGCACTCAACTCCATTTTCTACGATTGTTATTTTGAGGCATATTATGCTGTTGTAAGATAGCTGATGACAGGAAATGAGGGTATAGTGATTCGAAATAACCTGCAACCTGATAGTGATAGTGAGTTTGCTCTTTAACAGTGCCGTTATCAGTTTGATGTAACCGGTTTTACAGAATCATCAGGATCCTTGTCTACTGATAGGAGATTATGGATGACTTTATTTCTTTATTGAGCATTCATTTTGTCTCTGCTCAGCACAATCTGGAGTCATATCATGTTTATATACGAGTAATGAGGCTACCATGCATTTTTGTCTGTATGGAAGGAAGGAAATGGTTGCGAATTGAGATTTAACATTTACAATAATAAAAAACACTGATTACCATTAGAAAGATGTTTTTTTCTTTAGCTGAACAAACCCTACATTTATTGGATATACTCGAGTTTATTTTTGTGCATGTCAACACAATTTCTGTATCTTGTGTGCTGTATGGTGCAGCAGTAAGCCTCAGTCTGACAATGACAAATAGCTGTAATTCTGTCCCTTGCTTTTGTTGTTCTGCATGATTTAATGCAGCTTGCAATGTATACTCACATAGAGACTAACAAGATTTAACACACTGTACTGGGACAACAGACATAGCCTGATGATTTAATATACTATAGAGACACCTACTGCAGCTGAGCAGAGGGAGAGCACTATACTTACCTCCCTGCCCTCTCACTGACCTCAGACATTTGGTAATTTTCTTACTGAGCACAAGGTTTTGTAACCTTCAATTACCCGTTCAATCATTATTCCACACTTGCACTCATTGCTTTGTTGTGATGCAGGTTTTATCCTCTGGGATCTCAGTATGGGAGAAGTCACATTTGTGCAAAGTCTTCATTAATAAATTCAGTATGTTTATCTTGGACCATCGGAAAATATATTTTATCACTTGGCTCCCTTCCCGCTACAGAATAGCTCCACTGAAATCTAAAAAAGCAACTTGCATATCAGTAAGGAGAGCATGAACAGCACACCGCTGTTTTATGGTCTTGTTTACACAACCGAACTGTCCAAGTGTGAAACCAGCCGGGCTTGCAGGTTGTAAAACATGACTTTACCCTCAAATAAAGTTATTATTTAGTGGAAAGTGTGAAAAGTTTTTATTCTCTTTCACTCACATGAAATATCAAACAAGCAGGGTTGTTATCTCTGTAACAATAAGGATTTATTTGACAGGTGAAAACTCCATTATTTAAAGTCAAAATGATTCAATTATATTAAGAGGTTTTCTAAGGGATGGCCGGTTAGCTTAGTCGGTAGAGCTGGCAACCCATATACGGAGCTGCTGCAGCGGCCCGGGTTCAAATCCGACCTGTGGCCCCTTGCTGCATGTCATCCTCTCTCTCCACCCAGCTTTCCTGTCCCTCTACAGCTGTCTCTATAAAAATAAAAGGCCAAAAAAATAACTTTTTTTAAAAAAAGAGGTTTTCTGAGATTTCTACAATATAAATGTAGTCTGGAGGAGGCAAACCAGCTTTGCCCTTGTCTTCACATAGAGATCCAAGGTCCAACTTTTATGTTATTGTCAAGTTGATGTTGGGTTGGGCTTTAAAATACACTGTGAAGTACTTAAAGTTCCTTGTGGAGCTTTCTTGTCAACAAACAAAGGTTATGTTGGCCTTCACCGTCACTCACTGAAACACAATTGGCCTCATGCTGCAACATTTTATAAAATATATTTTATTTCTTCTTCTTGATTTTCTATTAAGAGAAAAAAATAAGAGAACTCAACTGCAGATCCAAACTTTCTTAACCTTAAATCTGCTTTTACCCAGGTGTGCTGAATGATGAATCCCACTTGATCATAAATTGGAGGCATATGGTCGATTGTTATTAGCATAGGTTCATTATTACTTTTTGTATCATCAACAGAGCTTGCAGGTTGGAAAATTAGAAGGTTTTAAATACTGATATCTTCCATTTGCATTAACATTGTATTGGTAATCTATGAAATCATCAAAATCCATCACAATAATGAATCACTTCTTACTGACTACAGAGTCATGGTCACATGAGTTACTGAAAATGTGTGTGAATAAACTGCACACTGCAACCGAGTTAACATGTTATCTTATACCCTACAGTTCACAAACACATACTGCACCACAGCATCCATGTCCAATGGTGTGCAACAGATGCCTGTTTGTGAAGATTGGATGTTCTGGGCTATCACAGCCTCTCCACACTTCACAGAGTTCCATTAAAGGAAAAGCCAGATTCAATTATTGTGCCGGAGACTGGAGGAAAACTACATTGTCAGGACACACACACACACACACACACACACACACACACACACACACACACACACACACACACACACACACACACACACACAATAAGGCAGCAGTTAACACTCTTTGTGGGCAGTTTTATTGTCTCTGGTCACACACAACCGTGAACTCAATTCCAATTAGTCTTCAGGCACCTGCTGCCCTTTTCTCAAACTTTTATCAGTTTATAAGCCATTGGCTTTGAAAAACAGAATAAAACTCTTGTGATATATATTTCTTTTCTCATCGAGGGTATGCAATAATTTCTGGCATAAGACATTTTTCTTTACACTTTACGTAGATTGTGTTTTTCTAACTTAATACTATCAAGACCAGGCGTCATTACCCACATGCGTAAGTGTGTGAAAAGCCAGCACTTTGATTTACTCAACCCGCTTGCCTGATCACTTCATCACAGCGCTCCATCCACCTCTATCAGCCCACCTAGGATGTACTCTGTCAATCAGTAGCCAGCCCACTCCACATGTTCACCAGTTGCACAAGTGCCTCATGTTTCCAAAGACATAAGCAAGTATGGGAGAACCTTGGAGAGATTTTTGAGATATGTTATCTGTTATATGAGATATAAGATGAGTTCTTTTTGGGCTGAATGAAGATCTAAGGACAGGACAGAAATAAGATCCATCTTACTGAAAACGTAGACCAAACTCTTAAGATAGGTTTTTCAGCCATTTAAGTCATTAAGCTTCATGATCCCTTTCTTGTGCAATATAAGATCACTCATTTGAACAGTATTGTGTTTTATGGCCTCATTCAGTCACTGCTTCATTCTGGGTGGCGTCACTAAGTAGTTTAAAGACACACTCTCTCTGGTTTTGTTACAGCACTGTCAGTGTTTTCAAACTCAACACAGTCCACACTTGAGATTTGAATATCAACAGTGAGCTGGAGGAACAATTTGGGTTTGTTTTTGGCTGTAACAAAAACTATTGAGTGTATTCCTATGTACAGTTGGTCTTCTAATATTATTACTAGTAGTACTAATACTTCGTATCTCAAAACTCAAATAGACAGTTTAACAATGTCTTAAGTTATTAAGTCAAGAGAAAATAAATACATATTTTATAAAAAAATTATTACCAGTTTAATTTCTATGTGGTGTAATAACATATGGTACTATAAGAGGAAAATGTTACTGGACCGCAGAGGTTTATTTTTTTTTATTCTTGTTCAAAGTTGAACTAATGCCAGTGTAATCTGAAGTCCCCAGCTAGGGTCAGGTAAATCATCAACTGGTTGGATGATGGATTCTAACAGAGTGCGAATATGGTGTCATAAAGCATAAACAGGATAGCAGGATAAATGTGACAGGAAACCAATTCAACTTTGAATGGATCTGTATTCAAATTAAGAGCCCCATTTTGTCTGTGCTTATCTCGAGATAGACTCACTCTCTGTCACTGAATAGCTTGCAGTATTTGGTATAATGGATGACACCTATAGCACCGCTACAATTAACAATTTCTCAGGGTCATATACAGCTCTGTAGCAATGCAGAGTTGGACACATCTGTCATACTGACAGCTTTGACACGATGTCTTCCGGATATGAATGTTACGTGTGACAACTTCTTCTTTATGTTGCTGAATCAACAGAAATGTAAAGATTGGTTAAGTGATTCTGGTGAAATCCAATATCCATGACAAATACCATGATGTAGTGCTACTGTTAATAACGAAACAACTGTCGCTACCTGGCTGGAATAACAAATTAGT